TGCATCAATAGTTCGGAATCTATCATAGTTGCATCAATAGTTAGGAATCTAACACAGTTGCATGAATAGTTCGGAATCTAAACACAATTGCATCAATAGTTCTGAATCTAACACAGTTGCATCAATAGTTCCAAATCTAAACACAGTTGCATCAATAGTTCGGGATCTGGATACAGTTGCATCAATAGTTCGGAATCTTACCACAGTTGCATCAATAGTTCGGGATCTGGATACAGTTGCATCAATAGTTCGGAATCTAACCACAATTGCATCAATAGTTCGGAATCTAAATACAGTTGCATCAATAGTTCGGAATCTAAACACAGTGCACCAATAGCTCGGAATCTAAACACAGTTGCATCAATAGTTTGGAATCTAACACAGGTACATCAATAGTTCGGAATTTAAACACAGTTGCATCAATAGTTCGGAATCTAACACAGTTGCATCAATAGTTCGGAATTTAAACACAGTCGCATCAATAGATTGGAATCAGATTACAGTTGATTCATTAGTCAAAAACCTGACCAATCCTTAATGTCTCCTAAAAAAAAATTCAATATATGATGAGTTTGGCAGTTCACAAAACGAGTATCTTTAGAATTATCCTTCGGCCTTTAAGTCTCTCATTATCTCATCAAATCTTAAAGATAATGCAATTTAGACATCAAATTCCAAATCTAGACCAAAAATTACTCAAAAATAGCCTGCACTACAACGCCATGCAGAGTGCAAAGAGGGAAATTTTGCCTAGACAGCTACATTAGCCTGCTCTTTTTCGAATTCAAACAGTCGAGGGATCTTTTACACGTGCAGAGCCTGTAGCACACGGGGCCTCGGTTTGTTGTCCCATCCGAACGACTAGACGCTTTTCCTTCTCAGCCCCTCTTACCTGCATCACTGACAGGAAACCGGGTTGAAAAATCCGAAGGTATTATCCCGACCTATGCCGGGATTGAACCCTGGACCTTGACGTTAGTGAGCAAGCGTCGAACTCACTGAGCCATCGCGGCTCCCACTTATGATACGAAAATTCATGTGATTCAATTCTTGTAGTCCAAATTTTCCTTGATATCTTTAAAGATAGGTTTCCTTGTTTTTAGTGTAAAATTAAACAAACTATTTGATTAATTGGTGTTCCTAATGAATTATCATTTATTCTTAATCATATCAGTATGTTCTTATTGCATATGATAACATAAGTTTTAATCAATCATAAATGTTCATGTTTGTACAGTCTGGATAAACAAAAAAGACTTTTGACCTTTTTTGATCAGTCACCCATCCGAATTCTGTTGGTAATTCTCTTCTAATTTAGCTAAATATCAATTAATTATGAACATGTGAGACAAACTGGTATTTTTCCAAGTCATTAGAACACCTCTACTTTCTATTCATCTAAGTATTAGCATTTTCATTTTCATAAATGAAAATAAGGGAACCCATCTTTATGTAAACAAGCTGCTTATTGGCATACTTGTTTGTTGGGTTCTACTTGCAAACTGCAAAGTAGATTATTCTTACAAACTGTATAGTCGTTTGTAAGAGACTGGATACGGACACTTTCCTTCAATTAATACTAACGCTTACAATATTAACAAACACTTTATTTACATCCAATAACCTAACTAACTAACACTGAATACTAAACAATAAATATAACCCCGAGTCTAAACCAAAAGGGGAGATCCCCCCCCCCCCCCCTCCCAGAATTCCCACACTCTAGTCCAACATGTTTCTCCGCTAACCCAAGAGTGACCCAGAGTGACCCCAGAGTCTTTGCCTAAGTTGTATTTATTCCCTTACCCAGATGGTCATTGAAATAAAGGAATCCTTTGTCTGCCCGACATTTGACTAAAAGATTGAACAAATCCTTCCCCTAAAGTTATTGATAAGTATATACCGACTGTGTGTTAATCACTTAACAAAGAATGTCGTCTCTGTCATGTGCACATTGGGTATCAAAGGCGATATAAGATATAACAATAGACAGTTAAAATTATAGATAAATACTAACACCCCAGCTGTGCGGTAATACTCAAGGACCATGACATCTTACTTATTCAATAAAGAATATTACAATATAAACAACGCTACATTTAAAAGGCAGAAATGAACAAGACAAAAATAAGAAAAAAAACTTGTATTTTTAAGTGATACTTGATATTTATGTAAGTATAAAATACATCAATAAAGAGATCTGGATTGATTTGACAACATATAAGTAACAATGAAACGAGTTCTCTTAAAAATAAGTTATGACATTTACAACTTTTTATTTGATGACAATATATACTGATTTTGATTATTTGGAATGTATCTTCAACGTTTTAAAGTCGTTTACTTGTGCCTGTTATACTTCTGTGGATGTTTCGTTTCCACAACTTTAGGTACGTTTATATATTACTTATCATGATAAATATAATATACATTCATAAATTGTTGTTTTTGCTGCTAAAAATATATTTTCTGTATATTTAGTAAACTGTTAGCTGTCATATATTGTTTTTATTCACATATTTCCAGGTTTAGATAAAGACCATTGGGGTACCAATTTTGTGCTAACCTTTCCGAAATTAAACTATTATAAGACCCAAAATATGGTTGTTATAACAGCACGTGAGATAACAGAAGTCAGGGTGACGTCACATCAAACAGGCGAAGTTTCCGTATTTTCTTTGAGTGAGGGCGAGGCAGAAAAGGTGATCTATGGTAATGAAGTTGAAGCGGCTTCTTATGGAGTAAAACTTGAGGATTTGGCGATATCTGTTACAGCCTCAAATAAAATATCTGTATATGCCTACGGTTACTCGGATCATTTAACAGAAGGAATGTTAATACTGCCAGTCCCCTCGCTCGGAATTGATTATTTGGTAGTTAATTTTTATAATCAAGCTTCATCGAGTAAGTATAGACTTCCATTGATTTCATTTCAAGACTTATCTTTTGTCTTGATAACTCCATTCACACCTCCATTCGTCATACTTCCTTGGGTCAAAACCCGTATTCGTGATAGGCCTACAATGGAATCGGATGGATTACTGAGTACAAAAAGACCAAACAAGATGGTCATCTTATTAATTCTTTCATTCAGACAGACAGTAACTTTATTTAAAATTCCAAATGTGTGCAAATCTTTGAACGTTTTATGAGTAGCGACTCTAAACCCTGTAAGATTTCATATTCCTGGTTTTATTTTTCAGCACAGACTATAATTATAGCAGCCGACAATAATACTGAGGTCAACATTCAGTTTAAGTTGGAAGCAAATACACATTGTGATGTTGGTTTCAACGTGTATTACGACGGTGACAATTTTGATTTCATTTTGAATGATCACGACGTTCTTAATATTAATTGTGAATGTGATAATACCGGAAGTCGCATTACGTCGAATAAACCAATAGGTGTCATAACCGGAAATAGAAACGTGCAATTACCAATGACATCCAGAATTGACCCAATTATGGAAATGCTGCCACCAGTTACTGAATTAGGAACCCAATTTTCTTTAATAACTCCTACAGGCCACACAAGTCAAAAATCAATGCTGCGAGTAGTGTCTCTTAACTCGGGAACATCATTTGAAATAAAAGGAGAACTTTATGCTCCATTGAAAGGAGAAACAGTAGATATTCAATATTTAAGCCAGTCCGAGAAAATCTGTTTCAATGCCACTGACAAGGTTATAGTTGTTATATTTATGTTAGGAGATCCCGTATCATGGTTTTACTACGGAGATGCCTATATGTCAGTCGTACCGCCCATTGATAGAGCAACAAATGATTACATGGTTTTTAACAATGCCTTAAAGTCTTTGGATGATTATTATAAAGGTGGAGTTATTATCGTGGCTCGAAATTCCGTTACAGACGCAATAATTCCGTCTTTAAATTATGAACAATTATGTACTGGCTATAATGTCCACAGTGAGATAATAAGAGATAGTCAAGTTAAACATTATCATGCCTCCTCACCATTTTTATTACTCATTTATGGATATTCAATAAAAGAAGCATTTGGTTTCCCTGCCGGTATGAAATTATCTGTTTTTAGTGGTAAGTTTTTCTTTATTTGCTGTGCTAGTCCACATTGACGTTTCAGTGTGCAGTGATTACCCAATGACTATGAATACCTTCATGCTATTATACCTCGTGTTCTGTTATTATCAATAGTGTGTTGTAAGGTAGATATTGAGACCTTTTGTATCCCTTTTTATACGCCCTTGTGAAATGGGGTTGTATTTGGTTGTAACCAATGTCCGTCGGTCCGTCCGTCCGTCCGTCCACAATTGCTTGTTAACACACAAGAAGGCACAATTCTGATTTTGACGAAACTTGGTGTGAGTGTTTTTTTATCACCCAAGGATGAATACTATTGAAAATCGAAAAATACTTGATAATATTATTCAGTATCGCCCCAAAAAGTTCAAAAGAAGTGTATGACTGAAAGTTGAACATTTCATACTGGTAATTGTAACTGTACTGCCAAATATTTTTATTCAAAATCAAAGCTGCTAGTGGGCGTATATTACCTTGCCTGGCAAGCTATCTTTTTAATCATTGTTTATATATTTTAGGTACTGATGAATGTACCAGTTTCCCCTGTCAGAATGGAGGTTGGTGTATAGACACGACTACTTCGTTTAGATGTCATTGTGAAGATCCGAGATATACTGGTATATTTTGTGAAATAGGTAAAGCAAACATTCCTATCATCCCCTTCACCGTCATTATCCGAAACATACCATGTTTAAATATTATCATCATCATCAGCATCACCATCAAGATAATCATCGTCATTGTCGTTGTAGTTAGAATTTAGAAATTATCCTTCTATTCCCTCGTCAACAACAAGCAGGCAATACATCATCATTATCAGCATTATCATCATCATCATCATAATCATCACCATCATCATCATCCTCACCATAACCATCATCATCATCATAATCTAGATAATCATCGTGATTCTCGTTCCGGTTAGAAGCTACCTCGCTCATCTCTCATCATCAACAAGCAAGCAATACATCATGATGATCATCATGATCTAGATAATCAGCGTTATTGTCGTCGGGTAAATGATATCTTAGTTCGTGGTAGATTACCCCCCCATCCAAACCCTACCAAAGGTTTAGTACATTTTCTTTAATTATTATTTCTTATTTATGATAACTTACAATTGAAGAGTTTCCTCGCAAAAATATCATACATGTATACTATTTTCACTTAATAAATTATATATATTTTTTATATGAAATACGCATTTTCCTTTTCATTTAATATAGGACAATTCCTCAGTTTCACCAG